CTACTAAAGCTAGGTCATAAAAAAATGACCTAGCTTTTTGTCTTGTTCTCTCTCAGATCACTCACTCTAGAAGAAATCCACTGCCTTGTCATGAGGATATTCAAGCAGTCCTATTGAGAGGTCCATGTAGTAAAGAACTGAGGCCTCCTACCAACAGCCATGTGAGTGAGCCATCTTGGAAGTAAATTCTCCAGCCCCAGTTGAGCCTTAGATGACTGCAGCCCTGGCTGAAAGATTAAGCGCAACCCCATGAGAGACCCTAAGCCAGAACCACCCAGCTAAACTGCTTCTAGATTTTTGATGTACAAAACTTGTGAGAGAACAAATATTTATTGTCATCTTAAGGCTGTATTGTACTTTCTCATAATCTGTTCATTTGCAGAGTCCCTTGACTATTGAACTACAGATTCCTTAAATCGGGAAATTTAAAAGAAAAATAGAAGTACAGCAATGATTACTGGCACAAACTTGAAGTACCCTTGCAGATTTTTAAATGTGAGTCCTTAGATACAATTTTACTTTTTGAAGAACAGGCTTATTCTTTTAATAACTTTTACTTTGAAAAAAAATAAATAAAATACATAAAAATTAAAAAGTTTTGAAAAGCAGACTCCTATTTTCCCCAGATTAGAAGTGAAATTTGATCCTGTGGTGGTCATTTTTTTCTTTCTCATTCCATATGTTGAAAGTTCTGATAATGAGATTGTCAGAACCAGACATAAACATTATACAGGATGGAGGGGCAGTAGGAAAGAGGCAAAATGTGATCTCACAATCTCATCTCACACAAAAGATATCAGTGACAGAGGGTTTCTCTGTCCACATCTCCCATTAGGACAAAGCTAGTTCATCATTTCCTCTAAAATGGAGAGAAATGGATTTCTCTTTATCAAAATTTAAACACCTTGAGGGACACAATGAAAATAAATAGAGGCATCTATGACAGCAGTAAGTGGTTCTCTCCGCAGCACAATGTGAGGTATACTCTTCATGCATCTTCCTTCTCATTCCAATCCCAAATTTTCCAAACCAAGGAGCATCTACAACACAAGACAACACACATTAAAGATAAATGGAGAGCAGGGTTTGAAACAATCACAAGGTCTGGTCTCTGCTAACAAAAAGTCAACAATGCAAATAATAAAATATTATTGATATATGGTTCTGTAGGAATTAGTCTTTAATATACACATGCTCCTCAACTTGTGACGGGGTTATGTGGTGATAAATCCTCATAAGCTAAAAATATCATAAGTCAAAAATGTATTTAGTACACTTAACCTACCAAACATCATAGCTTAGCCTAGCCTACCTTAAATGTGCTCACAACATTTACATTAGCCTACAGTTGGGCAAAATCACCTAACGCAAAGTCTGTTTTATACTGAAGTGTTGAATATCTCATGTAATTTATCTAATACTATACTGAAAGTGAAAAACAGAATGGTTGTATGGATACCCAAAGTACAATTTCTACCAAACACGTATCTCTTTTGCACCACCAGCAAGTCAAAAAATCATTAAGTCAAACCATCATTAGTCAGGAATTGTCTGTGCTTGGATACATCTGTAAAAAATCATCCACCTGCAATTTGGTATGTACATTTTTTTCTGATAATAATGTACTTTTCAGAGTGTCCTCACATTTATCTCTACCAATTCTATTATGTAAGCAACCAGAATTATTCTATTGAACAGTGATGAAAAGTTTGAAAAGGATTTTCTCAAGGTCAGTTAGTTAATGGCAAAAGACTGTAATTCAGGCCTCCTAGAATCCAATATTAGGCCTTTCTCCAGGCTACTTTCTCTGCTGAAAGTACTAGGCAAATCTTAAAGACTTAGAAAAATAGTTAACTTAAGAACAGAATTTTGGGGCCGGCCCGTGGCTCCCTCGGTAGAGTGCGGTGCTGATAACACCAAGGCCCCGGGTTCGGATCCTATATAGGGATGGCCGGTTTGCTCACTGGCTGAGCGTGGTGCTGACAACACCAGGCCAAGGGTTGAGATCCCCTTACCGGTCATCTTTAAAAAAAAAAAAAAAGAACAGAATTTTGGGGCCGGCCCGTGGCTCCCTCGGTAGAGTGCGGTGCTGATAACACCAAGGCCCCGGGTTCGGATCCTATATAGGGATGGCCGGTTTGCTCACTGGCTGAGCGTGGTGCTGACAACACCAGGCCAAGGGTTGAGATCCCCTTACCGGTCATCTTTAAAAAAAAAAAAAAAGAACAGAATTTTGGGGCCGGCCCGTGGCTCCCTCGGTAGAGTGCGGTGCTGATAACACCAAGGCCCCGGGTTCGGATCCTATATAGGGATGGCCGGTTTGCTCACTGGCTGAGCGTGGTGCTGACAACACCAGGCCAAGGGTTGAGATCCCCTTACCGGTCATCTTTAAAAAAAAAAAAAAAAAAAAGAACAGAATTTTGGTTTCTAACTCACTTTTAAGCTCTTTATTAATTCAAAATATTTTATATAGTTTTATTTTTGACACACCATTTTACCAAATGAACTTATTATTATTCCAATATTCACTGTTTCTCTCATCCATGCACTTATGTTGGTTTTTTTCTATTACTAATGATCAGTTCATTGGTAAAAATAACAGCCTACATATGAAAGAAAGTTTCTCCTCCCACCACACACATATATTGACTAAGGATGTGAATTCTCACTAATTTTTGACTCTTCAAGTAAGCTTTAGAAGGATGAGCAGAATGAAGCGGAAGAGAGAAAATAGTCATTTCCAGGTTTGACAAGGGGTCAGAAATAGGTCGCAAATAGAGAAGTAAAACAGGGAATACTAAGAATATTACCAAACTAGAATAGAAATGGCAGATCAGGTGGATGAAGAAAACAAAGTACAATGAAGAGGGCTGCTGAAACACCTGGAATGACAGGTTAAAGCAGTAACTATTAAAAATAGTACCCTCAAAGCCCCACTAAATGGTTCTCCCCCTGTAAAACCTACCATCATTTCCCAGAACAAAATTCTGTCCTCTAAAATAATACAGCACCTCTCCTATAGCCTTCACTGGGCCAAAGCTACTCATGACTTAGCACAAGGAGACTAATCTTTAAGGAAGGGTCCCTGTTGGGCTCATTTAACACCTGAAATTCTCATTGACATGTTGGAGGTGGAGGACAGGAAGGGGACAAAGGGAAGGGGGAAATTATTTCAATGTTTATTTAGTGTCTACTGTGTGCTTGACATTGTGCTAGACACTTTACATATGTTGGCTTATGGGGAAACTAAGGCTTAGAGAATTTAGTAATTTATCCAAGATCACTCATCGGATAGGTGGTAAAGTCTTTCTTCCTCCAAAATTGGTACTGAGCTGATTAAGTATTTGCTGAAAAATTAGTTCTGTCGTGGTGTTTTAAAATGACCAAAAGAAGGCATTTCACAGTGGTTCTTAATTATTTCTGGGTCATGGATCTCTGCAAGAATCTCTCCCTTAAAATTGCACATATGCAAATATATACACCATTTTGCATACCATTTCAGGAGGACTGGCTAAGGAACCATGGAAATCAAGGTAAGAATCTCAAGATTACAGTATTTCAAACCACCGTTCTCCCATTTCATTCCACACTACCCCCCTTCCCACAGTTTGAGAATAATCAAAACCAGAGAAAATGTAAACATATGAAAGTTTGGTTGGAAACAGCAGATGCAAAATTCTCATATAGTACTGTACTTAAAAACGTCATGGAGAATTTGAATAAGATGACATTGAAGAATGTAGTCTGACACTCTTAAATTTCAGTTATGACCATCAGTCCATATTTGATATAAGACTGAGAGATGAGGTTACTGAAACTCATCCCAAAGAGAGTGACAATAGCTGAAAGTCAAACTGAATGAATAATCCCAGGAAGTACACTACCAATTAAAGGAAGAGAGGTTTATTTTTGTCCTTTTTTCTGGGGAATTTTTCTTGAAAAATGTGTTTGGATTTTATGGGCTAAATAAAATGTTTTAAATGAGGTTTACCTGGTTTTTATTTATACCCTATATTGCTGGCAAGAGGATTTAAGAGAGCTCATAGATTTAGAAGAAATATAACAGAATATTAAGAATTACATGTATTAAAAAAAAGTCAGAGACACAAAGTAGAGCCAGGAATAGAGCTGCTTTTAAAACATGAATTCATACAGTGATAAGGCCTTTACTCCTTCAAGGTAATTTCTAAAAATTATGCAGCATTATGAGGGGTATGTATTAAGCATACATTTTTCATAATTTACAAAGTATTTTCATACATATTATCTTATTTGATCCTAAATTGACTTTGTGAGGCAGTTATTATCCTCATCTTCCAGATAAGGAAACTGAGGCTCAGAGAATCACTTGAAAACCAAGTCCTTGCTCTTTTCATTACATTATACTGCGATGCAGCAACTGATCATTACAGTTCCTGTGCACTAATAAGGACAGGCTGAATATTCCTAATCTGAAAATCCTAAAAGCTCCAAAATCAGGTATTTTTTGAGCAGTGACATGTGGCTCAAAGGAAATTCTCATTAGAGCATTTCAGATTTCAGATTTTCAGATTAGCAATGCTCAACCAGTATGTAATTCTGCAAATATTCCAAAATCCGAAAAAAAAAAATCTGAATTCTGAAACATTTCTGGTTACAAGAATTTCAGATAAGAGATACTCAACCTGTAATGCATTTCAGTTCTGTGCAAGAACATGCCTTTGACACCTGTGACCCTGGCATTTTCATTAGAGAAGGATTACTACCTTCTTTATAGGTGGCTTTAGATCTAGAAGTTGAGTAGACATAAAACTAAAGGACTTCAGGCTTGGAACAGCCCTTTTAAGTTACACTTAACTCCTTCTTTATAGTTGAGTGCTTTATAGATGAGTGCACTGATGCTCTGAGAGGTCAAATAAGTTGTCACTATCATCCCATCAGTTAGTGGTGGGGCCAAGACCAGAAGCCAGGTTTCCTAAATTCTTTTCTTTACACCACATTGCCTCTATAGCTCTATATCCATTTCTATGATTTTTGTTACATACCCAATTCTGAACTTCTTTGCCTTCACAATTTCCCTTGTGTCTACTGGGTAAAGTTCTGTATGCATACTGGCATGGCACACAAGGCCCTTCATGACCTGACACAAGAGACTGCTCAAGCTACTGATCTTCTCTAACAGTATGAGAATGCTCCTGATTCCTAATGGTGCTAGGCTTTTGTGTAACATCCTGACAGTTGTCCTGTTGAGACTCTGTTAGTAAAGGCCACATCCCTGGGTGTGAGAGAACTTGAATTTATCCTCTATCTCCCAGGAAGTACTTGGGTGAAGGCACTCAAGTGGAAGGAAAAAAATGACCTCTGGAACTGGGAGGCCTTGGGTAGGGACCTCTTCTCCCCCAAACTAAAGATGAATGAAGCAGATTAAGAGATTCCAAGTACATTTTAACGTCAAATTCTTGTGCGCTATCCTTGAACCTTTAGTAAAATCCCCTCCAAATATTCCAGAAAAACCTTGTGAGTTCACACAGAGTAAGAACATCCACACCACACAGCAATCAACCACAGCCAGCCAGCACCGTGGTGTTAATAATTACATAATGAGAGATCCCAAAAGGGAGAAGAAAATATTAGGTAACAGGAACCAGGTCCGCTAAATCCCAGTCACTTCTCCCCTGCAATGATTCTCCATCCCTTGCCAACATTAGAAGACATGTTGGAGTAAATTAGCTTCCTTATGCAACTTTAAATTCCCTGAAAAGATCCATGAACTTTGCACATTTTATTCCTTGGGCTTAAACTTTGGTTCCCTTCCCCAAACGTTTGTCCTTGACAAACTCTTACTCATTCATCATTCATATTTCTAGTTCAAACATCATCTTCTCTAGGCAACCTTTTCTGACACAAACTAACTTTGTACTCTACCTCCTCTTCCAAAATCTGTGCTCCTTTAGAACAGGGTCTCCTTGTAGTCACTACAGAATATAGTATGTATTCAATAAATATGAGTTGAATGGATACAAAAGTCACTAGTTTTTCCTTTAACAGTACTTTCCAACGAGTAATTCATGAACACTGCAAAAAATTTCAAGTTGCATACAACAAAATTCAGTGAAAAGACTTTCCTCCCAACCCATCCCTCCCTTAACACTCGAGTTTTCTTTCAGATTGATCACGCACATATTTAAGTGTATCTCGTGATTTTTTACACATAGTAAAAAACACATTTATACCCGTAAGATATAACATATATAAATATATGTAAATAGAAGTTATATATATGGTTTATGTATAATTTTATGATATGCTATGTAATATATAAATAATACATAACTTAAATATATATTTATACAGAGTTGCCTTGTTTCCACTTAAGTCAGGCTGCTGTTATGCTCTCTGTTTTTAATTAAGGGCAGCGTAGTATTCCCCTGTAGGGGCACACCATACTTTTCCTTCACTGTCCCTGATTTCCAATTTCCAATTTCCAATGCTTCCATTTCTACCATCAAGTCCCCGACCCCAAATGAAGAAATACCACCGCCCCCACCTGTCCCTTTGTGGCTCCCTCATTTTCAAACACCTTTCCACGAGCTCAGCAAGGGCGGAGCCCTGCGTCGAACACCACCTCAGCCTTCCCATCACGCGCCCCGCGACTCCACCGCCGGGCCGAAGGCCGCGGCGCCGGCGCGCGGGACGGCGACTGAACCGAACCCTGCCTCCCTCTCCCAGTGTCTCCGGACCGCCGATGGCGCCCCCTCAGACGTGACCGAATGCTCCGCACCCGGCAACGCCGGGCGTGGCCTGGCTGGGGCCGACGTGGTTCGGGGAGGGGCTCCG